CCTCCCTGTGTGACTGATCACATTGCTAATCAATGTGTAATGATAATGACTTCTCATGTCAATTGGAGGAATTTGCTACAGATGATTAATTAACTTTACAAAGGGATTACTAACTAATTTACAAGGAATTGTGAGAAATGTTTAGTGCTCTGAGTTTGTCAGAGTGAAAAAAAATTGATTGCTAAAGAACCATATCTTAGTTCACTTATAATTATGTGGACCAGTGCTCTCTCAGCCCAACAGAATTGGACAATTTTTTTTTTACCATCAAAGAGTAAAACTATGTGCTCGCTTCGGCAGCACATATACTAAAAAAAGAGTAAAACTAATATATCTAATTATCCCAATTAAGGGATTATAAGACCTATATTAAAATTAAATTCAAAAATTAGATACTGCTTTGAGTTCTCATCTTAGAAAATTGAGATTTTTTTTTCCTAAATTTGAGCTTACCAAAACCCTGTAATTACTATATTAATTCTTGAATCAGGTAATATTCACAAAGTTACACTACTTGGCAATTTTCAACTGAATGACTAAGGTGCCCTAGATCCAAGCCATGGTCTTTTTAATTACTTGCAATGTATCTGATAGTCGGACAATGGTTAAAGGTGACAGAGAAACACTGACACCTTTAAGTTGCAACATTAGAGAAGAGAACTTTATAGCCTAGAGATAACCAGTACAACCACAGTGTTCTTTGGAAGCAAGGATGCTGAAGCTTCAACTCACATACTCTTGGTATACTGGCAGGAAAAATATTTCCTATTAGGCTAATTTTGTTTACTGTGGAAGGTCAAGAACTGTAGTCTTCAATATGAATTAAAGCAGAACATCAAAGATTTTCACCACTGGGCCAACTGACAACACCATGAGAGATGGAGAAGAGATTGAGGTTAACAATTTCAGCTTGTTCTGCTCTACAATTAACACTCTTGGCACCAGCAGTCAGGAAATAAGAAGACAAATTACATTAGGAAAATCTCCTGTCAGAGACTTTCCCAGAGTGCCAAAGAGCAGGGTCTCACCCTCACCAAGGTCTTGCTACCTGATGTGTGAAGGACACTCTCTCTTATCCTAGTTCCACAGTAGTTGATGATTTACAAGACCATGTTTCTACAGTTAAGGTAGCTGAAGACGAGGGGAGGCTAACATATTATCTAGAAAAGCCAACTTTTAAGCTAACACCGTCATAGTGCACTGCACAAATATACAGGAAAAGACCTAGAAAGAGTAAGGATACCAAAATGTAAAAAGTAAGAATGTCACTCTGAGGGGTAGGATGTATCTAACCCAAATCATGGTATTTTTGGTTGTCTCACACACACATGTGAAAGTTGGACAATGTGTAAAGAAGGCTAAAGAAGAAGTGATGCCTTTAAATTGTGATATTGGTAAAAAATATTGAAAATATACAGAATGGCAGGAAAACCAACAAATCTGTCTTGAGAGTATAGCCAGAATTGTTCCTGAGAAGTGATTATAGCCCGACTTTATCTCACATACTCTGGGCATGTTTTCAGAAGGGACCAGCTCTGGGGAAAGGTCATCATGTTTGGTATAGTATTTGTTGTTATGTGCCATTGAATCAGACCTGACTCCTAGCTGAATTCCAATGGATTTTCAGAAGCTATAATTCACATGAGAGGACACTGCTCCTCTCCCTCCTATGCAGTATCTGGTATGTGGTTTTGAGCGGCAACTCCTTACCACTAGGCCTCCAGAGTGTCCCCCATGAACAATCTGAAGAAGGATAATATTGGATAAGCGAAAAAACATCTTCAAAAAGAAACGCAACACAGAGTTGCCACAATAGGCTCAAGCACAGCATAAACTGTAAAGATGGCACAGAATTAGGCAGTAATTTGTTCTGTTGTACATAGGGGAGCTATAAGTTAGAACCTACTAAGCACAACTCATAGCGACCCTATGAAAGGCCCTCTACAACTATCGACAATGATCAAAGTTCATAGAGTTTCTGGAGGCATGTTGTTTAGGAAGTGGATGCCACTCCTGCTTCCAAACCTGTCATAGTATGTTATTGTTGTTGCATGCCATTGAGTCTCCTGCAATGTATAGCGACCCTATGTACAGCAGCTCTGAATGCTTCCCTGTCCTGAGCCAGTCTCACTAATTCTGACACACCAGCCCCCATTACTCCAGTTACAGTATCAATCCATCTCATCTGGTGCCTACCTTTTCTGCACTGTCCATCCACCCTTCCAAGCATGATGTCCTTTTCCAAGGACCAATCTCTCCTGGCCACATGCCCAAAGTAAGTGAAGCAGAGCTTGAAAATCCTAGCCTCCAAGGACAGACTTGGTTTTACCCTCTCCAAGACAGACCTATTTGTTTTCTTTGCAGTCTATGGTATGTTCAAGATGCTTCTCTAGCACCACAACTCGAAGGCATCTATTCTTCTTTGATCATCCTTAGTCACTGTTCAACTCTCTGAAGCATAACAAGTAAGTGAAAAAACCATGTCTTGTTTAGGCATACCTTTGTTGTAGACTGACATCATTGCTCTTCAGCACTCTGGAGTGGTCCATGAGAGAAGATTTTCCCAGTGCAATTTCTCTTTTTATTTACTGACTGCTGGTGTTAAGAGTGTTGATTGTGGACCCGAGCAAGCTGTAATTGCTAACAACCTCAATCTCTTCTCCATCTATTATGGTGCTACCAATAGGCCCAGTGGTGAGAATCTTTGTCTTCTTGATGTTGAACTTCAATCCATATTGAAGACTACAATCCTTGACCTTTTGCAGCAAGTGCTTTAGGTCTTCTTCAGTTGCAGCAAGCAAAGTTCTGTCATCTGCATATCATAGGTTGTTAATGAGTCTTCATCTAAACTTAATCCCACACTCCTCCTCATAAAGCCTTGCTTCCTGACTGATCTGTTCTGCATATAGATTGAAAAGGTATGGGGACAAGATGCATCTTTAATACACTCCTTTCCTGATTTTGAACCATGCAGTGTTTCCTTTCATGTCATAAATTAAGAATAACACTATAAAAGTTAACCTAGGCCTAAGCTTTCATGTTTAATGATGATGTTGTTGTTAGGTGCCATCAAGTATGATTCACAGTGACCAGATCTAAACATCAGATATGAACCCTGTCCTACCTGTTCAATCCTCATCATCTTTGACACATTTGAGCCTATTGCTGCAGTTACTGTATCAGTCTATCTCATTGAGGGTTTCCTCTCCTTTACTGACACTACACCTTTCCAAGCATGTTGTCCCTCTCCAAGAAACAGCCTCTCCTAGTAATATGCCCAAAGTGTGTGAGCCAAAGCTTTGTGATCCTTGACTCCAAAGAGCACTCAGGCTGCACTTTCTCCAAAACATATCTGTTTGTCCTTAGGACAGGCCATGGAATAGCCAGTACTCTTCTCTAACACAGCAACACAGCAGCTCAAAAGCATCAATTCTTTTGCCATCAACCTTATTCACTGTCCAGCTTTAGATGCATTGTTGTTATTGCTGTTGTTGTTATGTGCCATTGAGTCACCTGTGACTCACAGCAACCCTATATACAACAGTCCTAAACCCTGCTCTATCCCTTGTCAATCTTATTGGCTCCAACACACCTATTTCTATTATCCCAGTGACTGAATCAATCTATCTCATCAAGGGTCTTCCTCTCCTGCACTATCCCTCCACCCTCCCAAGCATGACGTCCCTCTCCAAGGACTGATCTCACCTTGCAACATGTCCAAAGTATGTCAGACAAAGCTTCACAATCCTTCAGCAGTCTGGCTTCACCCTTTCCAGAATGGACTTGTTTGTTCTCCTAGCAGTCCCTGGAATATTCAATACTCTTCCCCAGCACCACAGCTCAAAGTCATCAACTCTCCTTCTATCATCTCTAGTCATTGTCCAGCTCTCTGATGCATAGCAAGTAATTACAAAGACCATGGACTGTATCAGGCACACCTCAGTCTCCAGACTGACACCATTGCTCTTCAGTACTTTGGAGAGGCTTCCAACAGCAGATTTTCTCAAAGCAATTCATCTTTTAATTTCCTGACTGCTGGAACCAAGAGTGTTGACTGTAGAGCCAAGCAAACCAAAGCTGTCAACAATCTCGATCTCTTCATGATCTATCATGATGCTGCCGATCAGCTTAGTGGTGAGAATCTTTGTTTTCTTGATGTTGGGCTTCAAGCTATATTTAAGGTGGCAGTCCTTGACCCTCTGCACCAAGTACATTCAGGTCCTCCTCAGTTTCAACAAGCAGGACTGTGTCCTCTGCATAACACAGGTTATTGATGAGTCTTCCTCCAATCCTGATACCACACTTCTTCTCCTCATAGAACCCAGCCTCCTGGATAATCTGTTCTGCATATAGATTGAAAAGATACAGAGATAGGACACATCCTTGATGCACACACTTCCCAATTTTGATGAAGTATTTCCTTGCTCTGTTCTGACAACTGCCTCCTGGTCCAAGTATAGGTTTCACATAAGCACAATCAAATGTTCTGGGAGTCCCATTTTTCTTGAAGTAGGCCACAGTTTGCAAAGGCATTTGACTGTGTGCATCAGATGTATAGTAAGTGAGTGAAAAGATCATGGCCTGAAGCAGGTGCACTTTAGTCTTCAAACTGACATCATTGCTCCCCAGTAATTTGGAGTGGTGTCTGACAGCAGACTTGCTCAATGCATCTGCATTGTCAAAACAAAGATATGTGGTTCAAATCCACCAGCTGCTCTTCAGGAGAAAGATGGGCAATCTCTTCCCATGTGGTTTACTATTTCTGAAAACACCCAGGGTCTGCTATTGGTTGGTGCTGACTCGATGGTACCTTAACAACACTAGTGATCAGGCCAGATATTATTTTCATTTTTTCTTATGATCTTTATATTCATTTTTTTATGATTCCACAAATACTCTTCATTTTGAAAATTATAATTATCAGTCAATGTAAATAAACTATAGTATTAAAGCCTATCAAATTAACAAATATAAAGTGTTTTAAAACAGTAAATTCTTACCTAAGTCAGTATCTCGAATTCCCATATACAATTCCAGAAGATCATCAATCTTTTTAACTGCCTTTGTTTCTGCTTCAGATGGCTTTATAAAAGGAGAGAAAAAAAAATATTATCTTCTTAGAATAAATTGTTTAAATATCTTGATCTACATAGGGACAAATGTCATCACATTTGGTCTGTGATTGGTCCATGATTAAATACTTCAGGTAATTTTACTGGAACTGTACCTACAATCTGCTCTGTACCAAGGCACAAATCAATAAGCATTTATTTAGTATCTGCATTAAGTAATAGATTCAATTATGAGTAGTTAGTAATCTAGAAGACATATGTATATAAATAATTATGTAAGAATAACAAGAGCAATTGTAAACATAAAGTATGCATAGGAATCACAGGAGAGGGGATTGTTATGTGCCTCTGAGTTGGAGCTAACTCACAGTTGATTCTCCAGCAGGTTAGCAGAGGAAGTAAATTATAGAGGAGGAAACCGTCCATCTTTCTCTGGTAAAGCAGATGTCAGAATCTAAATGCATGTCTTTGGAATTGGAGGCAAAAGATTAAGGAGGCAGCAATACAACTCCTTGTCCATTAGGTCCCTATCCCTCATAGAAGAAGTAAATCTAATATCTAAGAGTCAAAAAAATCTAAATATCTAAGAGTCAAAAGTTTTAGTCTAATATCTAAGAGTCAAAAAATCTAAATATCTAAGAGTCAAAAGTTTTAGAAAAAGGATAATATAGGAACTACTTTTTCAATACTCTTCTCCAGCACCACAACTGAAAGACACCAATTCTTCTGTCATCTTTGGTCACTGTCCAGCTCTCTGAAACATAGCAAGTAATTGTGAAGAACATCGCCTGAATCAGGTGCACCTTAGTTACTAGAATGACATCCTTGCTCTTCAGCACTCTGGAGAGGTCCCTGACAGCACATTTTTTCTAATGCAATTAGTGTTTTGATTTCCTGATTGCTATGCCAAGAGGGTTGATTGTGGACTGAGCAAGCTGAAATTGTTCAAACTATCCATCTCTTCTCCATCTATCACATTGTTGCCAATTGGCCCAGTGGTCAGAATCTTGTTTTCTTGATGTTGAGCTTCACTCCATATTTCATACTACAGTCCTTGATCCTCTGAAATAGATCACACCATGGACTGCCAAGAGAATGAACAGGTCTGTCCTGGAGAGGGTGAAACCAACATGCTCCTTGGAGGCAAGGATTCTGAGACTCCATATCACAAACTTTGGGTATGTAGACAGGAAGGTCCAGTCCTTGGAGGAGGATAACATGCTTGAAATTGTAAAGGGATAGCACAGGAGAAAAAGAACCTGGATTAGATAGATTGACAAAATAACTGGGGTAATGAGGGTAGGTGTGTCAGAGACAATGAGATTGGCTTAGGATAGACCAGGGTTTCAGAGCTGTTGTACACAAGATTGCTATAAGTCACAGTCAGCTTGATGGCACATAACAACAACACAGATTCTAAAATTACTTCAAATGAAAGGGAAAAGTAAGCAGAGTGGGTGTTTGGGAAAAAGGATATGCTGTATGTACTGCTGCAAATTGCTTCTTTTGTAAAGGACTGAATATATCCTCTGTATTGATGATAAATAAGCAGTAAACAAAAGGAACAATTTAAAATTTAAAAAAGAGAACTGCTTTTCAAAGATGAACAGCTGTTAAGACAGGGAATGGTGGTGATTCAGGTAGAAAGCATTAAATCTTTACGAATTTACAGAGCCTAATAAAAGATTGAAAAAGTAGATATGGAGATAAGGTTTATCACTGGCATATGCCTTTCCTGATTTTGAACTATGCAATGCTTCCTTGCTCTATTCTGATGACTGTCTCCTGGTCGAAGTATAGCTTTCACACAAGCACAATCAAATATTCTGGGATTTCCATTCTTAGAGATAGTTTATTGTGATCCACACAGTCAAAAGCCTTTAAATAGTTAATGAAACATATAGACATTCCTCTGGTACTCTCTGCATTCAACTAATATCCATCTAGCATTGTCTGTAATAACCCTAGTGCCATGGCCTCATCTAATTCCAGCCTGAACATTGGACAGTTCACTGTTGCTATGCTGTTCTACTCGGTTTTGGATAATCGTCAGCAGATTTCTTGCTTGCTTGTGATATTAATGATGTTGTTGTTGTTGAATGCCTTCAAATTGAGGACTACTCATAGTGACCCCATGAACAAAAGGCCTGAAGTGCATCTACAACCATCCATTGTTTGATAATTTCCAAACTCTGTTAGGTCACTTTTTTATTATTATTTTTTTTAATGGGAACAAATAGGGATCTCTTCCAGTCAGTTGGCCAGGCGGTTGTCCTACAGATTTATTGGCATAACTTGGTGAGCATGTACAGGACAGCGTCTATTTTTGAAATAGGTCAAAAGTATACCATCAATTCCTGGGGCCTTGTTTTTTTGTTTGTTTTTTTTTTTTTTGCCTATTCCTTCAGAGCAGCTTGACTTTGTCCTTCATCAATATCGCTTCTTGATAACATTGCTTCATGAAATTCTTATGTGTCAGCCAATTCTTTTCAGTACAGTGATTCTTTGTACTTCTTCCATCTTCTTTTGATGCTTCCTGGGTCTTTCTACATTCTGCATACAGCATCCTTAATTATTGCAAGTCGAGGCTTAAATTCGTTCTTCAGTTCCTTCAGATTAAGAAATGCTGAACGAGCAAGTTCATCTCTTTTGATTTTCCAACTCCAGTTATTTGCACATTTCATTGTAATACTTTTGTTTGTCTTCGCAGGTTGCCTTTCGAAATCTTCTGTTCAGCTCCTTCACATATGGTATCTTCCCTTTGCTTTGGCTTCTTGGTGCTCTATCACAATATTCAGAGCCTCTTCTGACATCCATTATGGCCTTTTCTTCTTCCTCTTTCTTTGCTTTTTTTTTTTTTTTTGCATTCTCATGGATGATTTTCTTGATATCTTCCCACAGATTATCTGGTCTTCATTCATTAGTATTCAAAGTCTCAAATCTGTTCCTGAGATGGTCTTTAAATTTAGAAAGGATACACTCAAGGTCAAACTTTCGCTTTTGTGGATTTGATTTTATTTTCTTTAGCTTCAGTCTGAATTTGCATACAGGAGTCAGGAAATCAAAAGATGAACTGCTCTAGCAAAATCTGCTGTACTGAGAGGCAAAGATGTCAGTCTAGAAACTAAGGTATGCCTGATCCAGGCCATAGTCTTTACAATTACTTGCTATGCATCAGAGAGCTGGACAATGACTAAGGATGACAGAAGAAGAATTGATGCCTTTGAGTTTTGGTGCTGCAGAAGAGTCTTGAAAATACCATGGACCACTAAGAGAACAATTAAGTTTGTTTTGAAGAGGGTGAAACCAGGTTTCTCCTTGAAGGCTAGAATTTTTATTCTCTGTCTCACATAATTTGAGCGTGTGGCCAGGAGGGACCAGTCCTTGGAGAAGGACATCATGCATGGAAAGATGGAGGGACAGAGCAGGAGAAGAAAATCCTGGATGAGATGGATTGATACATAACTTGGGCAATGGAGGTAGATGTGTAGGAGTCAGTGAGACTGGCTCAGGACAGGGCAGGCTTCAGAGCTATTCTACATAGGGTCACTATTAGTCACAAGCAACTTGATGGCACATAACAACAACATCATCATCATCATCAGTTTATATTGATAATAAGAAAACCCACTGCCATTAAGTCAATTTCAAGTTAATGAGTTTGAATCATGAAGTTTCTCTTCAAGGAATAGGCTCTCCTAACAAGATACTCAAAGTATATGAGATGAAACTTCATTTTCCTTGCCTACAAGGAGAATTCTGGCTGCACTTTCTCCAAAAAGATGTTTGTTCTTTTTATAATCCATGAGCTATTCAGTACTCTTCTTCAACACCACAACTCAAAGGCATCAATTTTTCTTCTGTCATCCTTATTCACTGTTCACCTCTCACACATATTGCAAGTTATTAAAAAAACCATGGCCTGAATCAGATGCACCTTAGTCTTTAAAATTATATCATTGCTCCTTAGTATTTGGACTGGTATTTGGCAGAAGATTTTCCCAATGAAACACATCTTTTGATTTCTTGACTGCTAGTACCAACGGTAAAATAGCCTAGGTACACGTAACCTAGATTATTCATCCAGTTATGTTATACATTCATCCTTATCATAACAAGGATTCCAATTACCATTTTATCTCCTCAATATCTCTTCATCTTTTTACTTTTTCTCCATATGCAGTTGAATTTCTTGGGATCCATCCTTCTTTTCCTATTTCCTAAGCTTCCTAATTGGTCTTCTACCCACAGTCTTCACCCTCTTCAATCCTCCTGCCCAACATCCCACTCTAAAGTGATTATTTGAAAATACAAACCCCAAACCTGTTGTTCTCAATTCTTGTATGGATCCTTCCATTATCTACCAGGTCTTCACATTCTGGTTTCATCTACACCTTACACTTCATTACTCCCCATCAGGTACTTCGTGCACCAAACACTCCAACTTCCGTAGATGGTTTACAAATGCTCACACTCACCACTGTTTCACGCCTAGAACATTCCCTTTCTCACTGCTAACCAACTCAGTTGCTATAAAGATACTTTCTCTAATATCTTCTTTTCCCCTCTCCCATCAGTTTCCCTTTCAACTTTCTAACACCAATGTATTATGTACATACATATTTCCATTAACTCTTATCCCACTGGTGTGCTTTTCTTCCTTTTAGAGAAATCATCACTAACAAACACATTAAACAAATTATGAGTGAAGTATCTTTCATTGTTTTCACAATTTATGCTAAATGATTTGCTTCAAATGCTATCAATCCTTTAGTTTCTGAAGTCTAATTGTAAGTAATTTGTACCAAATTTAATATTAGCATCAAACTAGCTTTTTCCTTTAATTGTGAGCTATTTTTAATTGCCCTATTTCATGAAATGAGCTAGGCAAATAAATTTATTTTAGATGTTTACCCTTGAATGAGTTTTTCCTACCTCCCCAAATAGATCTTAAACTACTTCCTTTTTATCCCAGCATCTGATGCAGCCTTTCAACAAATATTTATAGATTATGTTCCTCCTCCTCTGAGTCTTGAGCTCTCCCTACCAAACCTGCTTTCTTTGCAAGCTGTGTTAAGGTCTGTGTCATATTTCCTCAGAGCCTTGACCAGAAAGCAAATCTGTTCTTTCTCTAGCTTCCTACTGTTTGTGTTATTTGCTATTTTTTTCCTTTTCTTACAAAGGGTTTTCAAATAAGGTTTGTTCATTCATTCAATACATTTTATGGCCTTCAAAAGAGGTCAAGCAGTGTTCTGGCTTCTAAAAAAGACTTGCAATGAACAGAAACTGCTGCCCTGGGTTTGTTTTTTCACATACCTTATCTTGTATCATTTTTCAAAATACTTTTTGCTCTACCAGTCTCTTAAGTTACCAGACCCCTCACCCAAAGCATCTGTCTCAGAATCTTCCTCTGGATGTTCCAAAATTGATAGCATCTCGGGAGTTTCCCGTATTCACAAAGAGAGGCTTGCTTGGCTTCCTGATTTCTGGAGTATCTCTGCTCGAGAGCACCACTCCCATGAATGATTCTGGACTTTGTAATCCCAACAAATTCTGAACCAACTTCATTTCTTTTCTTTCTTACATGTGGGCAATTCTGGCCAAATATTCACACACAAAGAGCCTAGAAGTGTCCATTGCCGGGGTCTCTATCTTCGGGTGCTCCTGAGGATCAGATACTTGTCTGACTGCTTCTCCTCTTACAGAGTAACTTCATCCTTTTTTCTTTCTATTTCATCACCTCTCCTGATATTCCCCGCCCCCCCCCAAGCACTAACACTTATATCATAGTTGTTAGTTGCCATTAAGTTAGTTTTGATGTAAGGGATCTTCATGTATAACAAAACAAACTGTTGTCTGGTCCTTCACATAATCTTCATGGTTGTTGGTGTCATGGTTTCACTGTTGTGGCCATCCTCTTAGTCCATCTCACTGAAGACATTTATTTTCAGTGTTCCTCTCCTTTAGCAGATATTATGTTCTTTATCAGCTATCAGTGTTTCCTGGCACAAGTTCAAAGCAAGCAAGTTAAAAATCTCAGAATGATTAAGTTACTACTTCAGTAAAGATTTAACTCTTTTGATGTGCAAAGTACTGTTGCTGGCAATGAAAATGCAGTGGCGAGCAAAATACAAACACGCATGAGCTAGAAAATAGATAAAAGGGAAACAAGAAAAGATATAATGAGCATGATGTTTAGTGCTTTGAAGAAAATGATGGGTGAGAAATATTGGACAGTGGCAATGATTCAGGAATTGTTTTTATTTATGCTATTTAGAGGTAGCTTTTAAATATGCTGACATTAAATAGAAACAAGGAAGGAGAAAATGAAAAAAAAATCAATCATACCGGCCATGGTCTTTGCAATCACTTGCTATGCATCAGAGAGCTGGACAATGACTAGTGATGACAGAAAGAAAATTGATGTCTTTGATTTGTAGTGATGGAGATGATGGAGAAGAGTATTGAATATACCATGGACTACTAAGAGAACAAACAGGTTTGTCCTGGAGAGGGTGAGACCAGGCTGCCCCTTGGAGGCAAGGATTCTGAAGCTTCGTTTGACGTACTTTGGACAAGTTGCAAGGAGGGACCAGTCTTTGGAGAGGGACGTCATGCTTGGGAGGGTGGAGGGCAGCACAAGAGAGGAAGACCCTCAGTGAGATGGATTGATTCAGTTACTGGGGTAATGGGGATAGGTGTGTCAGAGACAGTGAGAATTGCACAGGATAGAGCAGAGTTTAGGGCTGTTGTATATAGGGTTGCTATGAGCTGCAGGCATCTTGACAGTACATAACAACAACAACTGTTACTAAGTTACATTCTGATTCATTAGACTTAATACTGTCTTATCTTTCCCCTGTGGACAGACTAGGAAATTCCAACTACTGATCTTTCAGTTAGCAACTTATTAGTTAACACATTACACCACCTCTGCTCCTTGAACAAAAAAGAGGGCCACACTTATAAACAGGGCTAATTATTCTAGCAGGGGCAATGGAAGTATATATTTAGGGTGCTATGAAACAGCCAAGAAGCCAATGGGACTGAAGCAAGGAGAACCAGGAGAAACAATAGGAAATAAGATGAGAAAAATTGGGTGTCATACCATCTGAGTGGCAATAAAAGTCACCAGAAAGTTGTGAACAGAGAAGCAACACAATCTCCTTTGTATTTTCAAAGTATCCTTTTGATTACTGCACTGATCACAGACTGAAAGAGTGACAAGGTGAAGGCAAAGACAGGAATTGTAAGAAGCAATCACAAAATCCAGGTGATGTTGCCTTGGGACAGAGTGATGGGGTTAGAAGTGGCAAGAAATGTTGGACTCTGGTATGTCATGAGGGTAATCCACTGGGATTTGCTGGTGGAAGCAATGTGGGATTTGAAATAAAAGAGTCAAAAATAGCTACAAAATGTTCTGTAAGATTAGAGTTCCTGAATATAATATTTCATTAATTACATTTTCTGAAATATGCTTGCTTCTACAGGTAGTGTTGGAATTTTTTTTACCCCTTAAATCCCAGCTATATCAAATTGACTTGTGTTTCTAACATTGACTCTAGGAAAAGTTATCTGCAGGTAGCTAAGAATTGCTAAAGGTAATAATTACTTTTCATGTTTCCTTCCTAAAAGTTTTCAATAATTTTCAGATTGTCTAATTGGGCAGTACATTAAAATTCATGCTTTAGTTAGAATGTAAGTATGGCTTTTTTTTTCTAACACTGTGACTTCATCTTAATTTCTAGTTCTAGCAAACATCCGTATCCACACATTTCCAAGCAAAATGGGAGTTAATTGATTATAACATACCATTTCTTCCACGGTGGCAGGTCCTTTTGATCTCAGTCGAAGTGTCCCCCTTCCACTACCCATTTTTTCTTCTGAGGACTTTCCAGCTTTTGTTCTTGGCTCTATTTCTACAAATATAAAATGAATGAGGATATGTAAAGATATTCAGAAAGAATCCCAAAAGACTTCTATACAATCTGACAATTATCGTAGAAACTTGATAAATATGTATGTCTTCTTCTAGAATTGCTTAAACCAAAACAAATCCAACATCCACTCATTACTCTCGAATCAGAGTCTCTATAAATAAGTCCTGATGAAGAAAAAGAGTTTAACATGTGAATAATATAGATAGGAAACACTGGAAGTTGTAAGGAGGAAAACATAAAAAAGGACAAACAAAACAATTGCCTTTATTGTTAAGAATAATAGAGGTTGAAGAAAGCAGAAATAAAAGAGTTCATCTTAATCCAAATGAGAACAGGATGGGCCTGCCTCAGTTTCCAGAGGACAACATATCCCTGTGCTGTATGACCCACATATTTCTACCCTAGAACCCTCCTGAATGCAACACATGAAGAAGTCTTGGGATTTCTTAAGTCAAAGGGGAACAGGAGTGGACCCACTGCAGTTTTCCAAATAACAATGCTCACCCCCACATTGGGTGAGTCAAAAAAGAACACCGACATACAAGTCCTTCACTGAACATTGCCCTCCCCTGAGACATCACATACTTATAGCAGCCTAACATCTACCAAGAAAAGATTCACATAAAATCAAGAGCAAACAGGCTCCCTCAAACATCATGAAAAACAAAATAATTCTGCTCCTAAAAAAAGTAGAGCACACTACAGATCCAGTGAATAACCTGGACATAGAGAACAAGAAGAAATTTGTTGATGTGGCATTATTTGAGAAGCGATAGAAGAAGATGCAAATAATAGAAGGAAGAATGGAAAGTCATTAAGAAAGCTAATACTTCAGAGATAGGGAACTAGAAGAAATACCTCTATGAGGAGTAACTCGAACAACTATGGAAGAAAAAGATGAAAGAAGGAATTAAACTAGAGATAAAGAGGTATAAGAACTTCAAAAAAATCACCAAAAGAAGAGAGTGCACAGCCAACACAGTACTGAAAATAAAATCCAGAATACTAAGACCAAATTGGCAGAAGTATCCAACATGCTAAAGGGACAAAAAAAGTAAAACAAAAGAGATGGAACTGTCAGTGAACTGGAAGACAAGAGCCTCAGTGGAAATATACTAGAAGAAATATAAAGATAAGACATGAGGAAAACATTAGAACTATGTTTAATGACATCAAAATTAATAATACACGTATGGCTGAAATTCCTGAACATGATAGGGACAGGGAAAATCACTGAGAAAATTGTGGAAGAGATAACAGAAGAAAACTTTCCAGGTGTTAAGAGGAACAGAGACATTCACATCCAAGAAGCTCAGTGAACACTAAAGAGACTAGACCTAAAAAGAAAAACATCAAGATATATCACAGTTAGATTCCCCAAAATTAAAAGATAAGGATACTAAAACAGCATGAGAAAACAAGAGTCACCTACAAAGGGTAAACAGATTAAATTCTGATTTCTCAGTAGGAACCATGTTGAACAAGGAGCCAATGAAATGTCATCTACAGTAAGCTGAAAGAAAACAATTGCCAGCCGAGGACTCTGTACCCAGCAAAGCTGTCCAACAAATATGAAGGAGAAATTAGGTCATTCATAGAAAAGAAGGAACTTAAAGAATTTGTTAAAACAAAATCAAAACTATAAGAAATTTTAAGGGAAATCCTTCATACAGAAACACCAAAGGAAAGTGAGTGGACCATAAGAAATGATAGAAAAAGTAACACAGCAAAATGGCAATGATAAAACCTGACCTATCAATAATCACACTAAATGTGAATAGATTAAATGCACCAATTAAGGGGAAAAGAGTAGCAGAATGGATTTAAAAAAAAAAAACACCCTAACATCAAAGCCTATCATTATGTTGCCTACAAGAGACACATTTAAGAAACAGAGAAAGACAGATTAAAAAATTAAAGACTGGTGGGCAAAATCACATCCACAAAAAGCAGGAGTGACAATACTAATATCTTATAACATAGACTTCAGGATAAAAACCACCATAAAAGCTAAGGAAGGGCACCATATAATGATCAAAGGCACAATAGCACTAAATTATAGACCAGCAAAATACATGAAAGAAGAAAGAAATAGACACCACTCTCACCAAGGGATAGGCCAACTCAAAAGAAACTTAACAAAGATGCATAAAATCTAAACTATACAATCAACCAACTCAATCTTGTGGATGTATTCAGGATACTGCACCCATCTAAAATTCAATTCCATTTCTTCCTAAGTATACATAGTACATTCTCCAGAACTGATATATTATTATGTCCATATATTAGGACACAAAGCAAACCTCAACAAATTCTTAACAAAAGAAAAAAGAGATAAGACATAAATAACTCAATTAAGAAATTATAGAAGTGGCATCACAACAGAACCAGATGAAATTAAATTGATAATATCAGAGTATTATTAAAAGCTATAATCTGACAAATTCGAAAACCTAGTGGAAATAGACAAAATTCTTGAAACTCATGTTCTACCCAGATTGACATGGACAGATGTAGAACACTTGAACAGATCCAAATGAAGAAATTGAGCAGGTCATAAAGACTCCAGGAAAAAAAAAGTTCTGCCCCAGATCACTTCACTTGGTTGAATTCTAACAATCATTCAGAGAAGATCTATCATCAATTTTACTTAAATTATTTTTTTTAAAAATAGAAAAATAAGGGACACTCCCAGGACCATTTTATGAGGCAAGCATAACCCTAATACCAAAACCAGGCAAAGAAAGAAAACTACAGACCAATATCTCTCATGAATATAGATGAAAAAAAATCCTGGCCAATACACTCCAACAGTATATATATATACATATATACACACACATATATATACATATATACACACACACATATATATACATATATCCATATATACATATATATATACATATATACATATATATACATATATATGTGTGTGTGTGTATACACACACACACACACACACACACACATCATGATCAAGTGGGATTCCTAAAAAATATGCAAGGATGGCTCAAAGTAAGAAAAACAATCAATGTAATGTATCACATTAACAAAGCAAATAAGAATCACATGATCCTAAGAATTAATGCAGAAAAGTACTTTAACAAAATCTAAACCCCTTCCCAATTAAAATATTTGGCAAACTAGGAATAGAAGGGAATTTCCTCAACATAGTGAAAAGTATATAAACAAAACCAAGGGTCAGTATCATTCTTAACAGAGAAAGAATAAAAGCTATTTCCTTGCAAATAGGGACCACACAAGGATGCCCACAGTCACCATTCCCATTTAATACTGTACTGGAAGTACTTGCTGGGGCAATACAGCAAGAAAAGGAAATTAGAGGCATGCAGAGAGGCAAAGAGATGGTGACACTGTAACTATGTGCAGATGATATGACACTGTACACATAAAACCCGAAGGACTTAACCAAAACATTGTTAGAGATAGTTAGACCAACTTAGTACAGTGGCAGGATACAAGACAAATATACAAAAGTCAAAGGGATTCCTCTATAGTAACAAAGAAAATATAGAGAAGGAAAATTAAAAAGCAATACCATTTACAGTAGCAAAGTACAAATTGATATACTTAGGAATAAAGTGGCCTAGTAGTAAGAAGCTGTGCTGCAAAATCAAAGGCATGCAGTTCAAATCCACCAGCTGTTCTGCAATAGAAAGATGGGCAATCATCTGTGTAATTAACTACTTCTGAAAACTTGTCAGAGGGTCAACTATGGGTTCACTCTGACTCGATGGTACACAACCACAACAACAGAGACACAAAAGACCTTTACAAAGAAAACTACAAAATACTTCTGCAAGAAATAACAAAATACCTAAATAAAAGGGGGAAATGTTCCCTGTTCATGGATAGGAAGACTCAACATAGTAAAAATCAAAATTCTACCAAAAGTAATCTACATGTTCAATGTAATCCCAATACAGATACTAAGTTCATTTTTCAAAGAGATATAAAAGGAAATTAGTAAGTTTATTTGGAGAAGAAAGAGACATTAAAAAAGCAAAACACTTCTGAAAAACAACAATGAAGTGCGAGATACAGCACTCCCTGAAAACCTACTATACAACTATGACAACCAAAACAGCATTGTACTGGTACAATGACAGACACATAGGCCAATGGAACAGAATCAAGAACCCAGAAATTAACTCATCTACGGTTAACTGATATTTGACAAGGAAACAAAGCTTATCAAATGGGGAAACAACAGTTTCTTCAACAAATGGCGCTGGCAAAACTGGAGTGCCTACCTTCAGAAAGCTGAAGCAGGAACCACATCTCTCTCTATACACACACATATCAACAAAAAGTGGATCAGAGGCCTAGGGTTAAAGCCCATAATCATAAAGATCATAAGAGACTAAGTGGGACCAAGCTTTAAAGGCCTAGCCTTAGTGAAACAATGAATTAATATAAATCCAAAATCTCTGTAAATGTTCATTAAAATTAATAAAATAAAATTTGTTGTTGTTGTTGTTATGTGCCATCGAGTGAGTCATTTGCAACTCATAGCGACCCTATGTACAAGAGCTCTAAATGCTGTTCTATCCTGTGCCAACCTAGCCATCTCAATGCACTTATTCCCACCGCTCCAGTCACAGAATCTATCCATCTCATCGAAGGTCTTCCTCTCCTTCGCCGCCTCTCCACTCTGCCAAACATGATGTCCCTCTCCAAGGACCAGTCCCTCCTTGCAACATGCCCAAAATATGTCAGACGAAGCTTCAGAATCCTTGGCTCCAAGGAGCATTCGGCTTTACCTTCTCCACACCAAACCTGTTTGTTCTCCATGTTGTCCATGTTATCTTCTCTAGCACCAGAGCTCAAAGGCATCAATTCTCTTTCTATCAACCCTATTCACTGTCCAACTCTCATGCATAGCACATAATTGCAAAGACTATAGCCCGGATCAGGTGCACCTTAGTCTCCAGTCTGACGTCGTTGCTCTT